AAAAAAAAAAAAAAAAAAGAATCTCATCTTTTTCAGAATTATGTATTTTTATTTTTTTTTAATTCATTTATTTTTTGCCAGGAGTGGTGGTGCCTATAATCTCAGCATTCAGGAGGCTGAGGCAGAAGGATCACTGAGAGTTCGAGAAGCCAGCCAGGCTACAAAGTAAGCTCAAAGCCAGCCTGAATTACATAGTAAGATTGTCTCAAAAAGACAAAAAATAAAATAAAATCTGCCCATTTGCACTACATAATGATTACATTCTTTTTTAAAAATTTCTTAATTTTTATTTTTATGTGTTTGGTACAAGGTCTCACTTCGCAGCTCCGACTCTTAGTGATCCTCCTGTTTTCAGTCTCCCCAGCGCTGGGGTTACAGGAGTGCCCCACCCTGTCCGGACTCTGCTGCTGGCTGAGTAGTGCTGGGAATCAAACTCCAGTTCCTGAGCTTGCCTAAGCAGGCGCTTAGGCCTCTGGACTATCTTGCTGGCCCTAATGATTACATTCTTGGTTTTTTTTTGTTTTTTTTTTTTTTCTTGACGGAACCGGAGATTGAACTCAGGTCCTTGCGCTTGCCAGGGAAGCGTTTATACCCCTGAGCCATCTCCCCAGCCCAATGATTACATTCTTACAGAAGAGTGCAGGTATGTAGCACATCTTAATATTTTTTAAATTTTTTTTTATTTATTTGGTACAGGATCTCACTCACTACCCAGCTCAAACTCCTAGTGATCCTCCTGTCTCAGCCTCCCCAGCTCTGGGATTACAAGTGTTCACCACCACGCCAGATTTAGGTGGCCAACCCGGCGCGCTGGGGGTTCTGTGGCAGACACATGTGGTACTGGGGCTCAAACCCAGGTCCTTACGTTTCCCAGGCAGCTGTTTTAGACCCCTGAGCTGTCTCCCCAGCCCTTAATTATTGTTTTAACCCCTTCTCCATTCCCTCCTTTCCTTCCCCCTCCAGGATTATATTATTGAGACTCTGATCTTTGGGAAACTTACATTTTAATCACTCAGGGTTGAGTCTTCGGAGTTCTAGCCCCACCCCATCATCACCGTGACAGTACCAGTGCCCCTGGCTTCAGCAGCAGCTTTGATTTTATAAGCCGGCTGTGTCTTCCTCACTGTTGAACTCTGGCCGGAGGATGAAGTCACTGGCTCTGCATCCAACCCCTGGTCCCCTGCCGCAAGGTGTGTTCTCCCAAGAAGTCCAGCAGCTGGCTCTGTGCGCAGCGGGCTCTCGGGCAGGTACCTGGGGCAGCGCAGGGCTGGGCCACGCCGCAGACGCCCGCGGGTGGTGGCGAGGTAGGGGCTGGGCCGGAGAGGGAACCGGGGAAGACGCGGAGAAGGAGGAGGGATGCCATGGCTTGGGGCTTGAGCTGAGCTGGAGATCAGACTTTTGGGGAGGGCCTTGCAGGATAGCCACCTGCCTGTGCGTCCCTGGTGGCTCGGCGGACACCCAGCCGCCGCCCCGCTCCTCGTTACCACGGCAACCGCGCGGCTCCCGCAGCCCCCTCCACCGCGGCGCCGACTTCTCCAGCGCGGGCTGTGGTGCGGGGCGGCGAGCGCGGACAGAGGCAGACCCCGAACCCCAGTCCTTCCTGCCTGAGCCCACCGTGACCCTCCGAATCCTGAGAGAACAGGGAGGAAGAAACAAGGAGGAGACGGGGTGCGCCACGGGGAAGCTCCCCTGCTGGCCTCCGGGCGTTGCATCTGCAAGGCGCAGCACCTGTGCACCAGGACGCGGGGGGGGGGGGGGGGCAGGAACTCGCCGCTGATGGAGGAGACCCTGGGGCGAAGGCCTACCTGGTGAGTGCCATCAAACCTTCGGGGGGAGGGGGCAAAGCACCTGAAATGCGAGGCTTTGTGTCTTGGTTGATGCCTTTTAAAAAAGAAATCATATTTAAATTGTTTATGACTTTAACTTGCGTGGCTTCCTGACATCTCCAGGGTTCTTGGCACTATCTCGCCTCCCGTTAAGGACACTTTCCGCTTAGCCCGCGGGAGCACCCCCAGCGCCTGGATCTCCATTACCGCCCAGCACCCCACTGGTGCAGGCACGGTGCATCACACACCCCAGACTCTATCAGAGAAGCAGCAGACCTCATTTCCCAGCCACCAGCATCCAGTTCCTTTGACGCTCCTATCCCGCCCCCGAAGAAATAGCGTCTCGAGGGAAACCAGAATATGCTGGATGCCCGAGAAATGTCGGGGGATTCCCAGCCAAACCGCGTCCTTTCTGGGGAGCCCAAAGTGAATGCATGAGCTCATCCAGAAAAAAACAATTGTTACGTAGGGAAGGACTTCTGTTTCCGTCCAGCAGAGGGCGCGCGATAAACAGGCTGGAGAGGAGACCGGCGCCCAAGGACGCTCGCGCTGTGCTCCCGGGCTGCAGGAAGCCGCCAAGGGCTTGTCTCCAGGTTCTGCACCAAGGGGTGGTTAGGTTCATAACCTCGGGAGAGCCCCAGCGAGGGCCATGGGACTTCCGGAGGAAGGTATTCTAAGTGAACGACTGTGATTCCATGGCAAACTATTTCTGTGTATCACGTCCTCCCATCCTCTCCCTTCACCTCTCTGCTGCCAAAACCTTCCTTACTGATCTAACGTTGTGTTCAACTACCCAGCATTGTCATTGTTGGAAAAATTCACGGGAAAGGTGCCCTTGTTAGAAGGGAAGATAAACGGAAGGCCCCTGGTTCTCAGCCCTGGGTACATGTTGGAACACCTGAGGGGGCTTGGTGGTTGTGTTTGAGACAGGGTTTTGCTGTGAACTCCTTGCTGGCCTCGAACTCACGGTGATCTTTCTGCTTCAGCTTCCTGAGTGCTGGGATGATGTCCTGGGAGATTTTTTAAAATCCTAATGTCCAGGTTCCATTCCCCACGGACATTCTGACTTAATTGGCCTGGGATACAGCCTGGCATTCTAACATGCTAAGCAGGGGCAATCAGCTGTACTGAGCAATCAGGGTTGAGTCTTTCCAGGTGAACTAGGGACTAGTTTGCCTCTCAAATAGGCAGCTGTTGCAGGGCAGGGTAAGCAATAGTCGGGAATGCCTCGGAGCTGAGATGGCTGGGAAGTGGTTTGTTCAAAGACTCTGGAGAAGGTGATGTTTGCGGGAGGAATCTCACCGAATGAAACGCTTTGATCTGTATGCTGGAGCTAGGAGAAAGGTGATGCAGTTTCCTCCTCCTCAAGGCTGTGAAGCGCAGCTCCAGTCCCCCATGGCTTTCTGGACTTCACCTCTGTATACTAAACTGAGTCACACGCGTAAACCCCACCCTCTTGTGAGGAGAAAAGACCTTCAGGAAGAGGAGGAGGAGGTAGGAATGCTGGGGTCACCCTAACGAGGAAGAAGGAACAACAGAGCTAAAAGATCCTGTAGGAATTCAGTGTTACCCTTCTCAGTTCTGAAACTCATAAAATTCCTCTAAAACACAAGAATCCTAGACATTCCCTTTCTCTGACCCATGGAGCACCAGAGAAATACCATCTCGACAAGTACTTATGCAGGGCTCAGGGCAAAAGTTCTAACTCTTCCACTCCAATGCCATCTCATAAATATTTATAAATCATAACTACTGGGAAGCAGGTGGAAGGCAGAAACTACACAGCAAGTCCACAATGCCTAAGGAGCTCTGGGAAATTAGGTAAGGCATGGCTGAGTGTGGAGACGCTTGCCTACAATCCCAGCACTCAGGAGGCTGAGGCAGGAGGAGTGCGAGCTTGAGGCTTGCCTGAACTGTAGAGCCAGACCCTGTGTGCCTCCCCCCACAAATCTACTAATTTAGTGCCAGAATTTCAGAGGTTCACCCTTCACAGCTCCCTAAGGCTTCAGGGTTTTGTTTTTCCTTTTTGATGCAGGATCCCACTATGCAGTTCAGGCTGGCCTTGAACTCACTTTATAGCCCAGGCTGGCCTGAGCTTGCAGTAATCCTCCTGCCTCAGCTTTCCAAGTGCTGGGGTAACAGGGGTGCACTACCACACCCTGCCAACTTGCTTTACTTTTGGCTACATACAAAGGAGTAAGATGACATGCTACAACCTCTGAAATCCTTGGCAAGGCCTGTTATTCACCTCACAGATAAGCAAGATGATTAAGTCACAGTAAAGGACATCCATACCCTGGATTGGGGTCACAAGGCCTGGTGCCCTGAGTCAGAGCCAGTGGCAGGTGGTATCTCCCAGCAGGGAAGGGCTGGTCACGTGACTGTCTGTGACTGCCCCCTCCCCCCGCAAGCCTCCAACAAGCCCGCTCCTTGCACCAATGTACCGAGCAACTCTGAAGCAGAACCAGCTCCATCTGCCCTTCAGTCATTGTTTTTCCAGTCTGAGCACAAGAACATTAGTTTGTCTTCGAGAGTTGCCTTGACCTCCTAAAACAAGGCCTCCCCTGGCCTCCTGCAGGATTTCCCAGGCCTCTGCTCTGCAGCAGGCATTCTCCCCTGGCCAGCTGCTAGCATCTCTCACTTCCAGCGCTGCCTTCAGGCTGGATCTGTGGCATCTGCTCTCTCCAGCCCGGATGCCTTTTGCTGATGGGTCTTCCCAGAGCGGATCCCCTCAAGGGCAGGCTTGGCCAACTCAGCAAAGGCTACCAGTCCCCTGGGACAGCAAACCAAACTCACCTGCACAGATGCCCCCATCTGTTCTCTGAGTTGTCATGCAGTATGTAATGTGTAATGTATTTATTTAGTGTGTGTGTGTGTGTGTGTGTGTGGCCACAGCTCAGCCCACCAGGGGGCGAGGCTGGCTGGCATGTGGTGCTGGGGGATCGAACCGTGGTCCCTGTGCTTTGCCAAGCTTGTTCCATGTAGGTGCTTTAGACCACTGAGCCATCTCGCCAGCCCCTGCATTATGTAATGTTTTAACATGTTTGATTTGTCCTTCCTCTTCTTAACTATTATTGTTGCTACTGCTGGAGCTCAAACCCAGGCTTGCTCATGACTGACAAGTACTCTACCACTGAGCTACAAATTCCATGCCACAAAATGTAATTTATTATAAGTTAAGCCAGGTTAGAGCTCAGTAGCACAAGCACCTACTTGACAAGTGCAAGGTCCTGAGTTTGAGTCCCAGTACCAAAAATAAAAAAAGGTATGTTATACTCAAGTAACATTTAAATTTATTACCCTACACAAACTCTGATGGAAACTAAAGTTAAATCAGAACATTAAAAAGTTAAGCTCTAGAAGAGCTAACCCCAAAATAGAATTCAATGTATTTTTGTTTGTTCTAGTCCTGGGGGTTGAACCCAGGGCCTTGCACACAGTAGGGGAGAACTCTACTGCTGAGCTACACCTCCAACCTGATTTGATCTTCGGGAGGCCCAGTTCTGAAAAGCCTTTTTTCTAGGTATGCTTATTCAAGAAAGTTAAAAATAAGTTCAAGTTTCAACTTCTGTTCCTTTTCCAACATACTGCTCCTCTAATATTGAACCAAACCTTTTGTGTGGGCAGTAGTGCTGGGACTTGAACCCAGGGCCTCAGGCCTGTTTGATGGACTCTACCACTGAGCTACACACCCTGCCTGTGATTCATAGTTTTTGTTCAGTGTTGTTTTTTTTGTTTTTGCTCTGAATGCCTTCAAGGCAGGTTTGGCTGGTTTGAGTTGCAGGGATTGAAGCACAGCAACCGGAGCCTGACTGCTTTGTTGAAGCAGCCACTTAAAGAACTGAGCTAAGGGGCAGGCCCCCTCATTTAGCTTTTTTGAGACAGGGTCTTACTATATAGCTCAGGCTGGCCTTGAGCTCAGTATGTAGTTCAAGTTGGCCTTGAACTCACAGTAATCCTCCTGCTGAGCCTCCCAAGTGCTGGGACCACAGGCATGCACCACTATGCCCAGCTTTCTTTCATTTCTTGAGACAGCATCTTCATATGACCTTTCACTCACTATGTAGTTCAGGCTGGCCTGAAACTTGCCATCCTCCTGCCTCGGCCTTCTGAGAGCTGGGGCTTTAGGTATGCTCCACCAAGCCGGACCCACATGCTTGTTACTTTGAAGTACATGCGTGTGGAAAATGAAATGCCTGTGTACAAAAAACTGGGTTGAAGTGATGGATTGTAAATGGGTTTTCAGTTTTCAAGATTCATTTACCTGTTCAATAACAGCGCTCAAATAAAACACTGAAGATTGAAAGAATGCGAGGGGGGGTTCTTTAAGTTTGGGTAGCAGGAATGTAAAGTTAGGAGAGGCAAAAATCCCAGACATTAGTTTGCATACTACAAGGTAAAATTCTGTGTTCTTTGGCCCTAGAAACTGGAGAATCTGAAGTTGCAACTGTGTTGAATAAGCACAAGCTGTGTGGGTTTCATGTCCCTCTCTCTCTGGGCTCACCTTCACTCTGGTGGAGCTGGTGCTTGGGGAGGTGGCCCCTGACCCTCTACTGTCTGGTTGAATATCAGGACCATCTTTTATTTGTCCTTTTCACAGTGACAATCTTGGGGAAAGCTGTGTTCATCTCTGAAGCGACATTAGAGGACTCAGTGTGCTTAATACTTTCCCTTCAAATCAGTGCAGTCAGGGAGCTGTCACTTTTCCAGTGCAAGGGACAGACCTATGGGGACCTCCCTCTTCAAAGAACTGTTGAAGGACAGACCTGGGAATGTAGCTCCTCAAGGCCCTGGGCTCCATCCCCAGTCTGAGAAGGAGAAAAATAGAATCATTTAAGGCCAGGCCTGAGGCATAAGACTGTAATCCCAGCTTGTAGGAGGCAGAGGCAGGAACATTTCTAGTTCCAGGCCAGCCTGTCAGCCTGCACTACATAACCAGTTCAAGACCACCCTGAGGTACATAGCAGGACCCTGTCTTAGCC